TTACATACAATAGATTGTAAACTGTCAAAATTATTTTTCACATATTATTTTATTAGTTTGTTATTTATGTGATTTATGGAAGGACTTGTCAAGAAAAATAAGTAATATAACATGTACATGCAGGATGTTTCACCAACTCGATCCACCTCAAATATCTCGATTATTTCAAGTCATAAATGAAAATATCTACAAAAATTGTATGGTTGCAAGAGATACATAACATGGTGTCAATAATTTCTTTACGGCTGGAGGCCTTTTAGTGAGTTTTAGGATAAATATATCTTAGTACTTTTATATTCAGAATTCATTATTCTGTCGAATTTGACTATAAAAAATTGAACATTAAAAAAAAAAAAAAAATGAGCTCTAAGTCTCCTCTATGTTTCTGTGAAGAAACTATTGCGACCATGTTATGTCTTTCTGTAGGTAATGTTTTCGCTTATTACTTGAAACAATGGAGATATTTGAAGTAAACAGAGTTGGTGGAACACTCTGTATACATATGTATAAGTAAAGTATAGTAAATGATTTAATCCTTTGCATTAAATATGAAATTATTGGTTATTAATAGACCGGGGTGAGCCCAAATAAAGTGGTTTTCTTCGAAACTAATTTAGACATCGACTTCGTTTTTTTTTTTTGTTTTTTTGCATTAACAAGGACGGGAGGGCTAATCATTTAATGTATAATAATTTTTCTGTAAAAGGGGTCTCCCTGATTTTTTGTTTAATGAAACAGCGTATTAATTTTGTTTATGCAGATAGCTCTTATTTTTTGTCTCCCTAAGAGCTCTCTCCCTCAGAAGAATTTGTTATACACCACATTATTAAACCCGCTGTCCCATTTAATGCAAAAAAAGTTGATATCTACAGTGGTTTTAAAGAAAACCATTTTATTTGGCTCATCCTGTATAGTGTGTGTACATGCCACATATTAAGATTATGTAATATAGTGTACAAATTAGAGTATCACATATTCAGTATTACTGCATGCTTAATATATTAACCATATATTGTATATGAAACTCATAACATGTAACATGTATGTTTCTTATATTAAGTATTAAACAAAAAGTATGTAATTATGTAAAATGTATGTACTTTATTTGTTCCAATGCAAAGGACTAAATATATTTATTTATGTATAGTAAAAGAAAGAAAATTTATCAACATTATACTGATAGAAAGTAATACATTTATGTGCATAATTTATCATAATATAACGTTTTATATCAGTAAAGAATATGGTGTCCAAATAAGAAAACAATTTGGAGACTGAAGGAAATATCTTGCCTTTTTATCAGCTCGTTTATGTGAAGATAAACAAATATGAAAGAATATTGTAGTGCAAGTATTTACGGAAATCAGACGAAAATTAAAAGAAGCATATTTCTTATACACCTGTCAAAATTCTGTCACATGTTTAAACACAATTCACTATATTTACTATTATGTTGAAACCAAAGATACTTAAATACTAAAAAGGTGTTAAATATAAATCACAAATTGCGAAAAGAACACACATGTTTTATTATATTGTTGTTACATATTCTTCTAATACTAATTAGGTAATACACTTTGAAGATATAAAAATTAACTTAATGCTTCAAATTTCAATAGAATTAAATAGAATTTTCGTAACAGTATTGGGGGTATCGGGATATAAATTTATAGTTTTATCTAGTAAAATGGTATGTTCATATTCGTTAAAAGTAATGATTATTCGGTAATATAAGTTCCTATAACAAAGTAAAACTTATAAGTAGTATTTCGTATAGATATTTACTTCCATCCTTTTGTAATTTCACCATTTATTTTTATATCATCAATAAATAAATGTATTATTAAATTTAATTATATAACAGTCAGTCATTGATTTGTTATAAATTTTATAAATATGGAATTGATGACATTTAATGATGTCAAAATTAAATTAATGTAATACTATATAACATTTTCCCGATATCCTTATTAACTGTATATTATTAAAAATTGTCAAAGGTAAATGAAATACAGTGATTCAATTTTGATTTTTATTTCCAGAAAGATATGTAGAATACGTTTTTAAGAGAAATGTGAACATCTTTTTCAAATATTGTTAATGCATAAAAGTTAAATGTAATATGTTTCGTGTAACATTATGAAGAATTAATTGTAAAAAATATATATGTGCTTGTTCGTCGTACTTCTCGCGAAGATACGACAAGGCGAAAGTCGGTTGCGTGGAGAGATGTTCGACTGCAAGGAAGACTACGTGGTGATGCGGACTTCTGGTGATATGAGAGAAATAAGAAAAGGACAAATGTTATGAAGAGAAGATATCTGTCGATTCAAGCTGGTGGCGGATTTCCTCCGGAAAGAATTTTGCTTTAAGAAATGTATAGTTGACTACCATTTTTCGGGTTAGTTCGTTGTTTACGGATGGTTTGCTAGTGGTTATGACTTTAGCGAAGGTTATGTTGGTTCTGACAACTGAAGGATTGTTAGGGACTAAAATTATTTTGTGGATTAGGGTAGTAATGGGGCATCAAGATTTTGATGTGACTATTGGACCTTGGATCTTTTAGCAAGAACAATAGTGAAGGACACTTGCTGTAATTAATAGGGTACTTCCCCTGGCAGTTCATACATGCTGCTAGTGTGTCGGGGGTTTTAATACATGTACGAGAGTGTAAGACCCTGCGCACTTGACGCATTTGTATTGCTTGTTGTAATTTACAGTCATGTGCTTGGCATAGGTAGTATTGTATAAGTGTTTTACATATATCAAGCTTGTTTTTTAATTTGTAATAAGGGTAGTGTTTGTTTTAGATGGGAGGTGGTTTTCGTGTATCGTGTACTTGTAGTGTCTAGTGTTATTAATGTTAGTCAATTGTGATAAAGGTAAAATTGAAGTTTCTTGGATTCTTAAGTATGTGTGGATTCAAAGCAGTTCGACAAAATGTCAAATCTGTTTTGTGTAGGAATGTTGATGACCTCCATACTTTGTTTTATTGTTGCTCTGCTTTCTTCTAAGAATATGGTCTTTTTGTATCATTTTTTGTCCCTTTGGTGATCCAATGACCATATCCAAGTATGTCTGACTATAAATTTATGACTCGTATGTACCTAACGCGCGTGGCGCGTTCGTTTAACACTATCCCCTCCAGGCCGCCGATCATCGCCTTGCCGTTTACATTCTCTTCTATCCAAATAGATATACGTTACAAAATTAAAAATAAAAATACAGAGGAATGTAAAATAAAATTATTTCCGGTAAAAATAAATGTTCACATCTCTGAATAATTTAAATATTATTAATTACCATTATCAAAGATACCTAACAGTAATTATGAAGTTCCTCTTTAATAAAAAAAAAAATGTCTGAACGACGTAGTCAAAGTTTAAGCCAAAGTATTTGATAAAAACTCAATGTTCATATTACTTTATTTATCCGTAATTTTTAATATACGCAAATATACATACCATTATCCCCTTATATAAGGAATCAATGAAACAAGTTTTTTTTGTATTTTCATGTATTATTATTAGTGCAATTACTGTTTTTTTTTTTGTAATTATCCGTTGCGCTAAATGTAAAGCTAAAAAAGTACGACAATTAGCAATTGTAGTGGTTATAGAATAATCTTGACTTTACGGAAATGTGAATGTGTTAAAATATTCTACTTGTATGTCTAATGCTCTGGTAATTATATGTGGTGGTTAATAATTAAAAGTTTAAGATTCGCATATATTACTGAATTCTCCTTCCAACCTTTATTTTATTACAATAGAAAATTTATTAACTTTAAAATTATTTTATAAGAAATTAAACGTGAAATAATTTGCTTATAATGAGACTTAGTTTTTGAGGATATAACATTTTTATGATTATAAAAACGAAGTAACATTTGAAATCATTGGCATGTATTTTATATACAGTATGTATATTAGTAAAAAATGTGACGTAGGAATTAATAAAATTTTATTAACCAGAAAATTTTTTTCAAAATTTTTATGGAAGAATTGTAAAATACAAAATATGTATATTACTTCTTTCCTGCTATAATAATACCATCATACTTTTGTTGGAACCATTTCATTGCATCTTCTTTGGTAAGTCTATGTTGGAAACCGACTTTTCCAGTTTTCCTTCTCCTGTGAGCTACATTAAAACCTGTACAGAGTAAAATTATATTACAAAAATTACATATAAGGTTTGCCACTTATAAGTGTTAATGAAAGTAAATATGACAAGACTACAAATAATTGAAAAATAATACTAAACTGTAGTTAGTCAATAATTAATATTAATATGAACTGTAACTTCAATTGAGTAACACACCCAGTAAAAGGAGTAGGCATGAGTTGCAAATATGAAGTCTTTACTCTAGCACATATTATTTTGTAAATATAGATACAACTTAATACAGTAGTACCTATTATAATGCCAAATAAATGTGCACTTCGTTTGTTAACTTTTATTGATCAAAACATGATTTCCAGACATCTAGTATCTAGTATCTAGTATTGTAATTTAAGTGAGCCTTCCACATTCATTTATATGGTATAAACATAAATAACTATTCAAACTGTTGCACAGTATTCCTTTTCTTTTTTTAAATATTACTTTTTAGTTAGATTCACTTTCCATGTCTGGAAAGTATTACTCTCAAATAAATAATTAGCTGGCAGTCTGCTATATGAAATGCATGGATCATAAAAGGTTAACATTTTGAAAAAATATAAAATGAAAATAACTAACCTGGTCGTCCAAGTACAACATAGAAATCCAGACCATAAATACCAATGCTAGGATCATATTTAATTCCTAAGTCAATGTGTTCTTGAATACCAAACCCAAAGTTTCCAGTACCAGAGAAATTTTCTTTCCTTAATTCATATTCTCGAACCTTAAAAAAAAATATAGAGAAATATTAAACCTGCTCAAATCTGATAAAACACATATTATTGTAAAAATATATAGAAACAGTAATCAAAATTACCTTCAGTCCACGTTCTAGAATTTCTTCTGCTTTGGCACCTCGTACTGTACAATGCACTGCAATTTTTTCGTTACGGCGGATACCAAAAGAACGAACAGTATATCTTGCTTTGGAAAATACAGGTTGCTGTCCAGTTAACTGTTCTAACACCTAACAAAATCAGAAAAAATATAGTATAAATGAAAAATTTGCATCTGAACAATAAATTCTTTTAGTAATATGCACTATAAAAATTTTAATTTTTATTATCTGAAATAAATAAAAAAATATTATGAATAATGTAACGAATACCTTTGCAGCACGAGTGAGTCTGTCACCGGATTCACCAACACAAATATTTAAACAAAGTTTACGGATGCGAACTTCACGCATTACATTCTTGGATGCATCCTTTGGCTCCTTTCTCGCTTTTTTTTCGGTCTTCTTCTCGGTCTTCTTTTCAACCTTTTTCTCTGGCACTTTCTTTGAATCCTATTGGAAAATCGGTTTGTTAGCACGCTGCTTCCAATGTGACAGACACTTTCATTACTATATATAACAATAAAAAATATTCCATTTATTCTACAATAACTAGTTACGAAATAAATTTAATCAACCTTTTCATTTTAAGTTTTTGAACTTTTGTGTACGAATAATTATTTTATAACTATTATAAACATCATAGAACAAATTTAGGTTATATTCAAGATGCGCGATGATTATAAACCTAAACTTTTTATTGCACCAAAAATTTTAAATATGAATATACTGGCAAAAAAGAAACTTATCAACATAAAACCAATAATACTTGTTTCTTTATAATACAAAAAAAATCTTTCTGTTAAAATCGATGTCTTTGATATCTAAAGATTACAAAATGTACTTTTCAAGCAACGACTGTACACTCACCGCCATGATGAAGAGAAAAGGACGTAACCACCATGCACTCTATTGGTGAATATCAGAAGAAAATTTTTACAGTGTAGCCAAGTTTAGAAAACTATATTTAAAGTGAATTATCTGTATGACGTTCAGACTCTGTGGCTCATGTGAACCAGCCATAAAGTCCACACTCTGTGATTCTTATGTATCCACCTTCTTTAATTTAGCGCACTTATACATATACACTGAGTTTCATCGACTTTGCCGAATCCCTTGCTCTACCATAAATACATATCAGCGTCGGTTCTATGTAAAACGGTGTTCGCTAACGAATGGCGTTTCACACAGATCGTATATACTTATTCTATGGTCGTAGCCTCTCTTCGCTTGAGGGGAAGTTTTGGTGCAGTTAGATACGTGATGTTTAATCACCCGTTGGTAATGTCACGCGTTGATAAAAGAATAGAAATGTGAAAAGATTATCTGCCCGCCTTGTCTTTCACGATAAACATCATCATAAACATGATCAACCTGTAGTCTCCACTGGCTTATGAAGAAATTATATAATTTAAAGGTTAATACAACAAGAAGGGCAATATCGAGACATTTGCTTTATTTATATTTATTTAAATAGTTGAAACATCTGAAAAATATGTATATATGAATTATAATATAATAAGTTAGAAGAAAATGACGAAATTTGAAATAGTAGTAATGTTTATAATGTACGGATTGATAGGTTATATGATTTTAATACTACATCTTTTGACATCGATTTCCAAAACGTATTTTTTTTCTTTTTCATGAATAACAAGTAAGTCGTTTAATAATTGTGTTATTAACTGTGTTATCGTTTCTTTATTCCGAGAGGAATAAAGTGTTTTATTACTTATGAAAAACTTACCCATTCGTCCACGAATTAATCTGCTTCGACCGAACTGGGTCAGTGTGTCGATCCTGACCTATCCGAAACATCTGATGTTACGATCGTGTCGGTGAACTCACATGATCGTTCCTCGCCAAACGTCGCGCGGTCCGCGGGGAAAGTGTGGAAAAAAACAAAAGACTTCTCGGCGTTCTCGACGTCTTCTTTCGGCGTTTATTGTTGTCGATGGCGATGTTTCTTGTGTCTGTATTAACGCTCATCGGTGAGCTCACTTCCCCGCACCGATCACTTCCTCTTGCCACAGGGAGAGGTTGATATGTTTATGAATTTATTATTTTGTTGTTCCTGTAGCTTCCCGTGGACCGCAATTCTTTCGAAGAATTTCGCGAGGCCGTAAATCCCTCTTACACTCTAGGTGGTGTATTGTCGTCCTGACGACGGAAGAGAGCATCGGTTATGGAGAGGAGAGGTTCGCGAGGTTTTTGTTTCTTCGATGCGTCGCGCAAGGAGGTTTATTGCGGGCCGATGTGAGTTTGATTCCCTGGTCAGGCGGTGGCATTTGATTAATGAATTTTATGATGATAAAATACCAACCTTTCCCTGCGGCAAGAGGAAGTGATCTGTGCGGGGAAGTGAGCTCACCGATGAGCGTTAGTAAAGACACAAGAGACATCGACATCGACAACAATAAACGTCGAACGCCGAAAGAACACGTCGAGAACGCCGAGAAGTCTTTTGTTTTTTTCCACACTTTCCCCGCGGACCGCGCGACGCTTGGCGAAGAACGATCATGTGAGTTCACCGACACGATCGTAATATCAGATGTTTCGGATAGGTCAGGATCGACAAACTGATCCAGTTCCGTCGAAGCAGATTAATTCGTGGACGAATGGGTAAGTTTTTCATAAGTAATAAAACACTTTATTCCTCTCGGAATAAAGAAACGATAACACAGTTAATAACACAATTATTAAACGACTTACTTGTTATTCATGAAAAAGAAAAAAAATACGTTTTGGAAATCGATGTCAATTATAAAATTTCATCGAAATATGTTGATGGAGAAACAAGCAACAGGCATCGAAAGATGTAAGAATCTGCAGATTTATTACAGTTTCACGCCGAAAGTCGTGATAGTGCGATTTTCATCATCTTTAACCGTTTGTAGCTCATAGAAACATTAACCAATTTCGATGAAATTATCAGCACGTGTATCATTGACATAGATCTACAAAACGTATTTTTTAGATTTTCATTTCGAGCTCAGATAAAAAAGTTGTAAAACTGACCTTCGCTATTTTCTTCGCGATACAGACTAATTGCAGTTTTTTTACAAATTTATACAAACGTCGGAATGACGGCCAAAAACCATTTCTCTAAGCCTTATAAAAACAGCAGTGCAAAGTGAAAGTTTTTTGACAGCTATCGAGAACCGAGAAGTCACGCGTACGCATTTGTTCGCTCGCGCGGGTGCATCTCTGTTCGGCCGTCCCTGAGCGCGGGCTCTACGCGCGCTGTAATTGGCCAGTGTTTTTCGTTAATAATTCAAAAACGAAGCTTCAAACTGGATTTTGGAAAAGGAAAAGGTTGTTCAGAGTCACCTCAGCTACCCCCCATTTCCGGGTGTTCGAGGAGTTACGGGACACCCTGTATAATCAATAATTTAGAAGATAATCAAATAGAATCGATTTTCAGCATTTCATTAATTATTTTAACGTTTAAGGGTCCGGGAGCACGTTTTCCCGTCATCCGATCGAACTTAACTTTTGCACAGATTATCTTTTTATTAATTGGAACTACTCTGGGAGGTGCCGCGAAAAAAATTTTCATCAAGAGTAAATAAGAGTCATGTTACCTACTATCCTGCTCTGAGAAGACGACGAGCAGGACGACACAGAGGCAAGGGAAGTAAGCCGCCTTCCCTACCTTTGAAGCTCATCGTCGCGCGATGGATTAGTAGATGTGACCGTTTCGGCCAATAGTAAAACTGCGTGTGATCTGATTTCACGAGTGTATCCGTTACAAACAATGAGATCCACATTCCTTCCACTCGTCACCTTCTCAGCGTAGATCAGTACACACGCACGTGCATAAATAGAGGGACGTGGATTTCCGTCTACGCGGACAGTCGGCGTCCTTAACCCCCGCGTTGTTTGAGGGAACACTATACCTAGTCTCTCTAACACTCGCCAGGTTTCCAAACGCCTCAAAAAGTTTCTCGTTCGCTCATTTCAATAAAAAAGTTTTGGATCAAATTTCTTCAAATTTTTTATATACCTTGGAACATACACTTGTATATTTATTAACGCAAGTAATTTTCTAAATTTCTGTAAAATAATTAATAAGTCATAAGTTCGGCAACAGTTGGTAAAAAATTTAAGGGGTGGTTCTACAAGCCAAAGTACGACAAAATAAAGAATAACAGAATTGCATTTGAGGCTTCATTTTTTAGTTATTGACAATTAAATATATCCCTGTGGTCGAGCAAACCTCTTGACACTAGTGAATATACGACAGATCAAGACACGGGGAGCGCAGTGATTCTCAAAACAAATAACACGTGGGCGTCAGCTTACCTCGCATAAATCATAGAGAAAAACACTATTTTTATTCTGAATTTTTGTCTTATTTTAATTTATAGAATTACCCCTTCAATTTTCTACCAACGTTGCCAAATACTCTGTATATGTCTAGAAACATAGTTTTCGTATTATGTTTATAACGTGTTAAAAAATGAATATTATGAAATAGATTTTAAATTTGTAACAAATACATAAGATAAATTTCACTTATCATATTTTTGATTTTTTTTGTGATACATATTTCTTTCAACGATGTTAATACTTTTATTAATTTTATACAGAAGTACAAGTTGTACAATATAATTTTCAAGAATATTTTTCTGTAACAATTTATTAATATATATTTGTGGTGCATAAATATATTGCATATGTCGTCAACGATAAATCATAACAGTTAAAAAAAGGAATTGCACGTTATTATTATAATTGAAGTTTTGTATGCTCATTACTTCCCACAGTTTTCGAAAAACATTTTCGATTTTATCGCTGCATTGAAGTTTTGAAAAAATTTTTTAGATTTTCATAAAGTCTATTCCATAAGCATACAACATTATAGATTTACAACATTACACGAATAACAGCAAATCAACGACAATAAAAATTTGTGTAATATTATGGTTATACGTTAATTGTTTACTTTAAATATTTGCATACTCTTTGGAATTTCAATATTGTCCTGAATAACTGAAAAAATTCAGTAACTTACATTTTACACAATCAATCGGCTAGTGAAAAAAAAAATCATTCAATTGTAACGATCCTTGAATGTAAATAACCAAGAAAATATATTTTCAACTCTTTCTTATTGTAAATCAAAATAATACTTTTAAGAAATTTTAGCGATTAACCCGTGAGTCCTGTTCATCCGTTTGTAATTGGTCTGCCACTCCATATCAACCTGGAATTTTATTCATTCCGAATTATCACCTACACTTACGATTTTTTATTTTTAACCTTTTTCTACAATATCTAATCTCCATGTCTACTTTTTCTACGATAATAAACGCACTTTGTTTGAAATGTAAATATATCATTTAATTAGATATTTAATCAGTTAATAATGTTTGTTATTCTTATTGTATAATAATGACACGTTTATAACAATATCAAATACATTAAAAAAGTAACGTAAAATTGGAGAACAAATTTTCGGACATCGAATCACATGAGTAAAT